GATCTATTCTGGGACCCTTGCTTTTTCTTATTTACATAAATGATTTGCCACTTGTTTCACAAAAATTATTTAGCCTTCTCTTTGCTGATGACACTAACTTATTTATATCTCATAAGAATCTTAATACTCTGATAACCACCGTAAACGAAGAACTAGATAAAGTAAACATGTGGTTCAAAACAAACAAATTATCTTTAAATGTCAAAAAACTAATTTTATCATTTTTACAGCTAAGAATAAGAAGTACCCGAAGGAAAATGTTAAGATATTAATGAACAACATCCGTATTACCCAAGTGACCCATACTCGCTTCTTAGGTGTCCTGATTGATAGCAAATTAACTTGGAAGAATCATATTGATCACGTATGTAAAAAGATTTATAAGAATATTGGGATAATACGGAGAATGAGCAATTTCTTATGCCATAAAATGTTTATTACCCTATATTACAGTCTTGTTTATCCCTATTTGACCTACTGCAACATTGTATGGGCATCTACGTACTCCACATCACTCAAACCTCTCTTTCTCCTTCAAAAACGGTACATTAGAATGACATTAAGAGCTTCCTTCACTACCCCTAGTGCCCCCTTATTTAAAAAGTTACAAATACTGACTATTTATGATATAAACCGACTTCAAACCTGCTTGCTAATGTTTAAAATAATAAGTAAATGTCCCTGTCTTCCTGAAACCTATTACAACACCTTCAGATTGAACTCAGATATCCATAGCTACAACACAAGACAAAGCAATTATATAAGGCCTATTACTGCAAAAACTAATCAGCGGCAATTCTCATTCATGTACAGGGGACCTACAGTCTGGAATAACCTAAACAAAACTTTAAAGCTATGTCCATCTTTAAATATTTTCAAATCCCACGTCAAAGCTGATTTCATTAATGACTCCGCACTTTCCTAGATCATCTTTTCACATACTACGTTCTTATATATTATTACATTGTTTCATGTTCTTACTGATTGATTTACTAATTTGCTATATTTTCATTTGTTTGTAGCCAAACACATTGGTTTTGTTTGGTTCATGCATTGTTTGTTTACTTATGTTAAACCTGATCATTTTGTTTATATGACTGTTTTTGCTTATTTCTTTAATTGATTCATTATTTTGTTTCATTGATGTAAGAATATAATGTTAGTTCACATGGGGGGAGTTGTCATACAAGCCTGTGGCTTTTCCTCTACCCCTGCATGTTTATTTGTTTCTGTTATACTTATGTTTTGCAAATTTTGCTTTTACTTTGTATGTGCAATAAATAAAACAACAATAAAACAACAATGTCGTACCTGGGGCATTAGCCATTTTGATCTTGCTGGCCTGCGCCGCTGCCTTGCTGGGGAAGCTGTCTCTCCGCTTGATGTCGAATCCGATGATGGACACCTTCCTGACACGGTGACACGGCCAGTACTCTGCGGGGGCAGGTTTTACATGTTAGTACAGCAGATCTTAAAACCAGACTTTTCAACTGAACGCCCCACGTTTTCCTGTTGTCGGATTACTGTGTAATTTCTTTGCCCTGATGTGGATTCTGTGGAAACGTTTTTCTAGGTACAAAACAGATGAATTTCTTTCATATTTCTCACGAGACACAGTTTTACGTTTCTCTCACGAACTTTCGGACAAATTCAAAAGAATTATATATAATTTATCTCTTATAGTATGTAGTATGTAGTATGTAGTGGGTCCATGTCGGCTCAGCTGAGTTGCGTGTTTCTCTCTCTGCGTGTTTGCTTGTTTGTTTGTTTATTTATTTATTTATTTATTTGTTTGTGTTTCCTCACCGGAGTACAGCTCGTGTGAAGACCGTTTCTTCTCCATGCGTTTCTTCTTGTTCTTGCGGTACAGGCGGCACAGGTAGTAGATCAGGATGATGAACCCGATGATGACGATCACAAAGCCCAGCAGTACCAGCCAAAGCCGCAAGTCGCCCCAATCTGCGGAAGAAATAATTATGTGTGTTGTTTAAAAACAAAGTACGAATAGAGTAAATCGGATAAATGTTCATATTCTTGTTACTGGTACATTTGCTAGTTCAGATGACCAGGTTATTTTTTCTGTTGCCATGAACATACGCGTCTCGATTGCAACATTCTAGGACAGGAGAACAAGAACTTGTGTCTTACCAGTGAGCCATCCGGGTATAGGACTTGTCATGTGACACATGTTTCTTCTCAGTGGATTGATGCACCTGAGGAAAAAAAGTTTATTTGTGTCACACAATCACAATACAAACGCTATATATAGAGAGAGTACGCAATATATATCATTACCATAATCAACGTGTGAAATTGGTGATCATGGGAAATGATGAGCTGGGAGCTGAATAGAATATTAGACAGAACAGACACTGGTGTGGAAAATGAATTATGAATCTTAAACTTACATAGCCTAGTTCAATGGTCAAGAAAACGATATATGCCATAAAGGGAGACGAAGTCTTACATGGTCTCCTCCCCCCTCAGTGTGGCGACGTTCGTCGTCTCCTCTCCAGCCTCACAGCGCCACGTGGTACATGTTCCTGGACAGCACAGGTACACATCAACATTATTGTATATCTAAAAAAAATGTGTATTTTGAAAGCCTTCATGTCGGTTTCTGTATAGCCGGTAATCCTTATACATGCAGTTGTTCATATCATTGACTTTGTAAATGATATGGAGTAGTTTTTGTCTTACCGTAGCAGAACCTTCCAGCCGGCGCGCCGAACGCGTAGCTCATGTCCACAAGTCCATCGTTACACACGCACTCGAACGACCCCAGCGTGTTTCTACACGTGGCCTGCGGATGGCAGTCACTCATATGACCTCTCTGCTTCGAACACTCGTTTTCATCTGAAAAAGGACAGTATTAATTGTAAAGTTTTGGAAAATACACCATGACTTATGGTAAACCACGAATGATTGCTGGTACAATTTAGGACGATTCCAAGTTGTTGTATACATAGCTCAAAGCGTACCTGTAACCTCCATGGTGTCCCTGTTGAGGGTGGAAACAGACCGGAGGGCGGCGGAATTCTGCAGGGCGTGCTCCAATCGGTTGGGAGTGAGTTCAGAACTCTGCCTGTATATGGAAATGCAAGATAAAGTAAACATATATTAGCATTACTCTCAGAGATCGATGACCGGTTATTTCATTGAAATTCACTGTGTTGCTAGTACATGTACTAGATTACAACTTATTTTCATGTGCTAAAAGTCAAGATTTTCAACTTTAACTGGGTCCTGATAAGAGCACACGATAAAAACAATCTAGAACCCCTCACCTGTAGTGTATGAGTGCCTTGGCGATGATGGCATTCGGCATGCCTCCAGAGTAAGTCACAGACGACATGGCCAAGAAATTGGCGTCCAGGGCCTGCACGTTTCCGTTATTGTGAAGCTGGGAAACCTGTTATAAACGGCAACAAATATTGGGCTGCCCTAATTATACGCACGATGTATAGTGCTGACGGGATCCCCAAGGAAGCCTTTTTGGTCCCATCTTACCCTATGACTTGATTTCGTTTACTCAACAATTACATGTAGGTTTGATTTTGAGATACAGAAAGAAGCATAAGATATTACTATCAGAATTTCACCTGAAGTTTACCGCACATTCTTTGTTTTCTTTATCTTTTTGTTCACGATCAGTTATAGAAACACGAAAAAGAGCCGTACCGTGTTGGTGAATTCCTGCGTCGTCTGTTGGTAGTGGTCGGAGTGGGGGTCGTTCAGACTAGCCATGTGTTCACCCGGCATCAGCACGTACAGGTGGAAAGTTATGGCCTCTATAACAAGAGGAAAACAGCTACAGTGAAGCTGATGATTTCATTTGAGACCAATAGATAGTAACTCCAGCATTGAGGCATGATTGGTCAGTGCTGTGTTCAATAATTACAATGATATTGACAGTCTGGACTTTGAAATGATATCCAAGATCCAAGATCTAACTAGAAAGGCCGACATTTGCTTTGGAGCAAATACAGCAATGGCTTCACCACATATGGCAGGGAAAGAATGAGAAACACAAGGGAAAACAATGCTTTACATTGATATAACTATAGTATGAAGTAACATACAACTAAGACTACAACAGTTGGATAGCTTTTCCCTACATTATTGGTTAGGATTTTTAATTGCATAATGCAAACTGTTGATTTACAAGAAAAAAAGAAGCGTTCATGCCCCGCATTCCAATGCTGGAGCAGGAAAGCTTAAAATACCTACCAAAACACTTGAATACAGACCTACTGTCAGTATGGAATGGATCTGAGCAGGTATTAATTAAGTTAAGCCAGTTAAATCCCAACAGCCAATCAGCAAGGAGAATAGAGGAAAGCTGCATGCCTATTGGTTGATGCCCTGCATTCCATTGTGATGACTCATGCCCAAATGTGGTAACACTGCACACTAACTCAGTAATACATTTGCTATAACACAGCCAAAAAACTCAAATAAAACCATTCTAAAGGCCTGTATCACAATAATTCAAAAAACGCCTAGGGGTATTTGCCCACTGTACCTCCATACCAAATTTCAGGACCTTGGGCCCTAAATGAAGAAGCTGAATCCATTTAAAAAATGGCAGGAGAAGAAGAAGGAG